ACCTGTTAACGCTTGAGAGTTTGTTGCTACGTTAATTCGAAATGTGGTAAATTAACAGTTGTCATGCCGCCATCAGTGTCCGCGTTGTCTAAGGCATGAACCGTCTTCGCTTGCTTGAACTCTGGGATCGAGGATTCGAANGTACAGGGATACCTTTACTTACTTTTACTTTACAAAACTAACTAGCTCAATGCAGCAATCATAAGTTGACCGTCGTTCAGATAATCAGGGAATTTTCTGCCTTTTGTGCAACCTGACTGTCCGAGAGCCCGCTACTGGACGATATCCCGAACCAGATTAATCCAATTTGCATTCTCAGATCCATCTGATTGCCTGAGTGTTAAGTTACATGCATTTCTTACACGTCCTTCGGGTGCTAAACATCCTAAAAGGAAGAATAATTGAACTCGGTACAGTTTACCACGCCTATCTGTTGTATTTATTAGCACTGTCAAGAATCGATTAGTAATAATTCGTTGATAATCCTGTTACTTAGCACCACTGATTGAATGTTTAAAGTAGGTAAGGTAAAGTTGTCCCTGTGCTTAACTACTTAAGCGCTATGCTAGGTAGGCCTACAGTACAGCAAATCGCATGGAAACATGGAAATCTCGTATCTGTGGTTTGAAGGCCGAAACAGAACTCCTATTTTGCGTGATGATCGAAAGAAGATGTCTCGATATCTTCTTCAAGAGTCACTCGAAGAACAAAACATGACTACACGACATAAAACTTCTCGTTAAGATCTGAACACCTTATTTCAATCATTTATCGATATCCTTACGTTGAATATTTGTGAGCCGAGGTAGTGTAGTCGGTATAGCGACTGCCTACGGGCTGGACGACTGAGGGGTCGGAGTTCGAGTCCCGGTAGGGTCAAGAGGTTTCTCTTCTCCACATCGTCCAGACCGGCTCTGAGGCCCACCCGGCCTCCTATACAATGGGTACCGGGGGCTCCTTCTCCGGTGGTAAAGCGGCAGGGGCGTGAAGCTGACCACTCACCTCTAGCTAGTGCCGAGGTCAAGAAAATATAGATCTCTACATCCACTTTCCCATAAGCCTTCATGGCGTAGTGTTTAACTAGTTAAGTACAGGAACAACATTTTATGTTGAATATTTAATAATCTAAATGAACACCGTCATCATCATTGGCAAAACAGTCCTCTTTGAGTCAGCCTTCCTTACAAGATTCTGGCGGATTTGATCCGTTTTTCACTTCTTTGGATTTCGCAACAATAATTCTGTACAGAGCAAGGTCGTCAGCTTTGTGTTCGACCACCCAATTTGGAGGACCAGGTCCCCGAATTTATGTCTCCCAGTGACAGGATGGCCCAGGTACGGGGTTCCCTTTTCGTCTCCTTCTACCACTCGCAGGTTTACGGTGGAGGCAGAGTCCGCATTAAGAAGCTAACAGTCGCTCAGCTAATTACAATATTCTCTGCCCTTTATGGAATCAGAGGGGTTTTGTGTGTTCACAAGAACCTGCCAACAGCCCCTATTCTGAGTTACATAAATCCTGTCCGTAACTTCTCAATTTATTCTTGTAAGACCAAGGCGAGTCTTGACACCGGGTTTACATCCTTTGCTGATCATCTGAACACTGAAAGTAAGATTTACTTTTTCGGATAAATCTGCCATGAATAACCTTAAAAAGGTAAAATTGTCTCTGTACCTAGCTAATTAAGCACTACGCCGTGATGATGTATGCGAGAGTGCATGTATAGGACCACGTATTTTTGATCTCGGCACTAGTTGGAGGTGAGTGGTCAGCTTGACGCTCGCGCTGCTTTACCCCCGGGGAAGACCACCTGATACCCACTTGCTATGAGGCTGGGTGAACCCCACAGCCCGTCTGGTTGCTGTGGAGAGAAGAAAAATCTCGCCTTTACCAGGTCTCGAACTCCGACCCCTCCGCCGTCCAGCCCGTAGCTGATCGCTATACCGACTGCGCTATATGGGATCCCATGAAGGTTCAAAAGTTATTTATGGGCTAATGGGCTAAATTATACCATAAACCTACCGCTCTGCATAAAGAAGGTTGTAAGAACCCGGAGTAGCTCGATCAGTACAGTGACTAGCCACGGGATGGACAGTCGGGGTTCGATACCAGGGAGAGGAAGGGATTTTTATTTTCTCCTCCATGTCCACACCGGATCTGGGTTCCACCAAGCCTCTAATTAAACGGAAACCTGGGGTTTCTCTCTGAGGATAATGCGAAGCTGACCACTCACCTCCATGCAGCACCGAGGGGGAACCTACCCCCGCTCCCTCATACGCCTTCATGGGATGACAAATTAATTAATTAAGGTTATAAAGAGGTTTCGAAGGGTTAAAATGATGATCTCTTCTTCCACGCGTTACACATTAATGCCATGTATGAAGCTACATTTTTTCCAAGGCGAGGGGCGCAAGTTCTCAAAGGGTGAGAGGGGCGGAGGTAGCCAGAAAGTAAACTATAAAACTATTTGCACTGACAACAATACAGTCTTCAGCATAGAAGATCATGTTTAAATGCTTTTTATTTTGGGTAATAATATTTGATATATTTTTTCATAAATTTCGATTTCTTCCCCAAAATTCCAGGGAGGGGGGAGACGCCCTACAGGGCGCCTATACGTGTTGCATCTACAGTTAAATTTTACACCGTTTTTAGGGCGTCCGGTATATATCTATATTTTACCGATCGGTTTATAAATATATTTTTCGTTACTCCGGCTGCGTCTATTCTCTGCACAGCGTCTGGCCACTTATTTCTGTAGTGCAACTGGTCCTCTTGTCAGCAAGACACAGAGCACCTTCAGGAAGCGAATCAGATGGCCTCCAGATATGGGGGTAGGTGCGAACATTCCGCGTTCAGCCTTTTGGCTGGGGGACGCAGCTATTGTCAGCGCACGCCCCCAAAAAAAAAAAGCTAGCATGTGACGAACTGTGTCACAAGGAGCACTAAGACTTGGACGGACGCGACGTAAACCAAGACATAGGTTTGAAACTTGGTCTCTCACTCTAAGAGGGGGAAGCAAGTGGGGTATGTTTCTAGAGGCAAATATTTGTACCTTACAAAGTGGAAGTACAAGGAGAAATTGCAAAAGTAAATAACGAGAGGCTTTATAAATTGTGCCCTTCACCATATACGAGTATTACTGGGGTGATCAAATCAAGGACGGTTGGATGGGCTCGACATGNCCTTCCAGGCGCACTATGGTCCTGGGACCGACTCAGCCTCTAACAGAAATGAGTATCGGGAATTTTCCTGGGGGATAAAGGGCGGGCGGCGCGTAAGGCTGACAACCTTACCGCCATCTGTGAGCCGATTGTCTATATGATGAGGGAGCCTCAACGTCTCACAAACCTATGGACCTCCACGGCCTGTTACAGGGATAAATTTACCTTATATGTGCATTATCTCGCTAAGTATTTATCGGGTAGAAACTGTCTTCATGAAACAGTACAACGTTGTTTTCTGTTCTTTGCAATATTTGCATAAAATTCGTCGATTTCTTGAAAATTATTGGCATAACAGTGCCTATTAGGTGTATGGTGCGTTGTCGGAAGCATTGTCGAACTTACTGCCATTGTTCTACCATCTAGCTGATGTTCGGTTGACTTAAAACTAATTCCTTAGAGGAACAGATGTCATGGCGCAGGGGGGGGGCATTTGTCAGTTCTCGCTGTTATTGTAATCTATGGCTGCCACTCGTAGTTTATTATGCCTGTTCCTTAGTGAAAAGTTAACCTGTTATGTCCTGCGAAAATAATACGTGCCACTGTGTACACACACATAACTTCACCACAGCACAAATTGTGTTGCGTGGTGACATAACTTACTGGCTAGAGCACAGTTCTCTTTGAGAAGCTAGTATTTTCTTCACAGCACATTATGGAAACCGGAGGTTCATTACCGTGTCCACAACAGCCCACCATTGGTCCCTAACCTGAGCCAGATTAATCAGTCTACAACCTCCTACGTGACTTCAAAGATCTACTTGAACATTATCCTCTTATTATTTATATTATTTTCTGTGTGTGCTACATGCCTAACCCATCTCATCTTCCTTGACATGGATTATACTTTAGTGTGCAGTTACAAGGGAAAGAATGAGAAACAATGGCGTATGTGACACACAATTACCTGAAAGGAAGTCAAAAATAAAATTCCCCGGGTTAGAGGTTTAATTTTGTCCTGATGTTTTCGTGGTTATCCTCATTTCATCTACGAGAATTCTGAGATTGTACATCAAAACAGACCACGACTCTTTCCTACCACAACAATTAGATTCATCATTCGATATTTCAACTCATACACTCGAAAAGGCGTCGTTATACAATCCAAGAATGCATAAAATATTATATTTTGTATATAAGTATTACTTTTATACTTAAAGATTAAAACCAATAACAAAGTTTCCGGCGAACAGGACGCAGCTTAAGAGTCTGGGTACCTTCTCATATAAATTTCCCCACACCCATATCGAACCCAAGGCCTTCCGTAAGAAAAGTCTTGTCTCTAGGCCACCAGGCTCCCTTAATATATACAGTTACACTTTTAGACATAGTCAACTTAATGCGCAGTAGATTTGGTCAACTCCATTAACAAAGAAGTAGCGTGTGGATTAGACGATCAGGATATCTGAGTCATCTTCTTTGGTTACGGTGCGTCGTCCTAATCCCCATCATCGCGTTGCTTGTACAGACATAACACAAATCTCATGCTTCCTGCAACTCGCAATCCGGCGGTCACAACAAAACAGTGGACTATACGTACACATATACCGTCTGAGCGAGCAGTGGATTTACCTTAGAGGCTTTGGTGTTTATATACGTGGCCTCTTGAGCGGTAAGGAGTAGCTGTATATACAGTCTGACAGCTTTTATAAGCATACGTCAACTGTTAGGAATCAAAGGTTCGTGAAGCCTCCATCTGCGTTCATTAGTCAGATCCGTAGACGCACTCGTACTCTGCAGGTGTCTCCATGACATCGGAACCATTGCACTGTTCGCAGGCTTAAAGCGGCTGATGGGGGTAGACGATTCACTGTTCGGGCCCCATTCGCGGGCCCAGGTTCTGCAGATGGCCTTAGCAGAGCTCGTCGGAACCGGCATGCTCATCTTCCTGGGGTGCATGGGAACCGTCGTCGGCATGTCGCACAGCCCACATCCCCATCTTCTAGTTGCCCTCGCATTTGGTCTCGCTGTTATGATCTGCATTCAGGTAAGCGAACATCTTGTATAGCACCAGACATTTTGACACCTTCTCTCTACAGCATCACTAACGCTACGGACAAGGCCTTTCTTGAGTCGTTTATAGCTGTAGAATCATCATCGCTGGCGAAACAGTTCTTTTTGAACCACAGCCTTCCTTAATACATAAGACAATCCGTTTTTCACTTCTTCAGATTACGCAACAATAATGTTTTTACAATACAAGGTCATCAGCCTTGCGTCCAACGCACAACCTAGAGGACAATATGCCTGTATGTATGTCCCCCAGTGAGAGGATGGCCCAGTTATACTCCCAGGCACGGGGTTCTCTTTTCGTCGCCTTCTACGACTTGCAGGGTTACGGCGAAAGTACACGTATTCTAACACGTCTCCATCTGGGGGAGTTATTGAATAGGTGGTGGAATTCCCTGTTTTAGCCCAGGCGGTTAGGCGCTGGCTTCTTACCTCGGAGAATAACGCTAGTGACACACACGGCGGATTTTTCCGTGGCGGAGAGTTTACCGTCGCCGCCGTTCCAACAGTAGCCCACTGAAGTAAATTAGAGCTTATACATTAGACGGAAAAAAAAAACGATCGGTCAATTTGCCGTCAGCGGTAGCTGTGCTGCCGTCGGGTGCCACTGTACGCTGACGGAAGTTTTACCGTCGGGGTCTTTAAAAAACAGAAACCTTCAAGTACTGGCGTACGTGACTAAATGCACGTTTACACACATGGCTGTTTTTCTCCCGCTTAGTTAATTGCTCAGTGTGAGTTGAACTGAACTTCGTGTTCACAGTTTTCAATCAATATTATATTCGTATCAATAATAGTTTTTAGTGAACATGAGCGAGATTATTGATAATGAAATTCTAATTTCGTTAATACAAGAGAGGCCTGTTTTGTGGGATAAAACCCTCGAAATTTTCAAGGATAGAAACGCTACCAGAAACGCTTGGCATGAAGCTTGCCTTGGATTTCGAAGCGACTTCGATCAGTTGGAAGAAAGAGAGAGAAATGATTTTGGTAAGTCCATATTTTCTCACATATAAGTACTAGAAAGTGTAGGGGTCGTAAAAAAGTTCTTACTCGCATTGCCATTCATTTGTTTTTAAATTTAGACAACCATGGTAGGCTACTATTTTCATTTGTAAAATCAGGGCCGCCGCGTGATGGTGGAAAGGTTTTGCCTTGATGAAAAATTATGACAAGAAAAAAGTTTTAAGAATTTATTTTTAATTTATTAGCATATTTACAATCTACTCTAAACAGCAACAGAATAAATAAGTAAATGGTTGTAAATGGTAAGTAAATGTAAGTAAATGGTATCTTTCAACCGGCCATGCAGTCCATCAAAGGAAGTCATCGACATTCTGAAGTAATTGAAGAATTTCGTTTCATCCTGCCTCAATTCTTCAAACAACGTGTAGAAAGCTCCAACTTCCTCTTTTCTTTCATTTATTTGATGAACCCAAATTAGTCGATTTTTTCTTCTCCTTTTCATTCGACGACGGATTAACAATAACGCTAGAAGTTGCTTTCTGTTCATTTCAACCTACACTAATTTGAATAACACAACTGATGTGTTATGATCTGAAGATGAAACTACACTGCCTATACCTACCAGCTTACTCGTACGACGGTGACGGAAATTTTTCCGCCCTGTGTGTAAACTCTCGATTTCTTTGAGCGGCGACGGTAAACTCTCCGCCACGGAAAAATCCGCCGTGTGTGTCACTAGCGTTACGGTTCAGGCTTGGGTGACTGGACGAAGTGACACTGGAGCAGCGTTCTCTCCAAGTTTCTTATATTTCTCCCTGCTAATCGTCATTCCACCATTGCTCCATACACATCTTATCACCGTCGCCTGAGCTGTGAGATAGTCCTGACCAGGCAGCACATTATCACATCCTCGGCCTTTAAATTTGGGGCATCATCTCTGACCCGTTAAGTGACCGGCTAAGAAATAAGCGAGCTGATCTTATAATATCAGAAAATAACTGCAGTTAATAATGTGGTTTTCAAGGTATCACGCCGTGTAGTCAGGTAGATGGGGACCAATGTTTGGTAGTACATACTGCATGAAGATAGAAGCAAGCCGTTTCTTCGAATTCTTAGCACTCACCTACCAGACTACAGAGCATCATAACCCACAAAACAACACGAATCTTCGTCGCAGTGGAAACCTCATATAATAATATCTTACATTGCAGTATCCTGAGCCAAACGATTGCAGTCTACATGTCCGAAATCCCAGTTATTATAGATCTATTTAATATGGCCTATTCCTATCAGTTTGTTAGAATGGTTTTCCAAGTGGACTCCTCGCCCAAAGTTCTGCTTATATTTCTGATGCCCTCCGCAAGTGCTAGTTTATCTAATCATAACAATATTTATGCGCTGTGTAGGTCAACGGATTATCCTAAACATCCTCGTTTAATTTCCTCAGAATCTCTGTTACATCATTTTTGAAAGTCCATATATTACCTCCCCTGGACATTTTTTCTCAAATACTCACTATTTAAGAGCAAGAGACATAATTTTGCACCAATATAAAACAGCCGGTAAAATTATAACGTAATTGGTAGTAGAACCTGAGAGTTCAACGCGGCTAATACTAAAGCCCGCTGTTGAACACGATTCACTTCCTTAACACCTCTCTTAATATTATCCTATCAATACTTTCTGTCTTTACAATATTCTGTATAAGTTCTTTGTTCTATTCTAGCAACATGACCAGTCTATCGTGACCTTCGTAATTTCGCTGTCTTAGTAAATCTACGTCACCTGTGTTAGAACACATTAAGTCCCACGTTTTGGAGAACTAAATATCTTAAATTTTCCTATCTACTTCATCCCTCACAGGTCCAAATGTGTTCTTTACGATCTGTTTTCAAACGCTTGTAAGTTATGTTCTTCCCCTAACATCCAAGTTTTAATTTTACATATGCCTAATGTAACCTAATGTACTACAGAGGTGGTAGATTCCGAACTAATTTCTCATAGAGTTTATTGTTCCGATGTTAACAGTCCCTTTTCCAAGTAGGCGTTCTTGAAATCTGGCATATTGTCAAACGGTCCATTAAAAGATTACGGCACAATAAAAGTAAACCTGACGTTGCAAATGTGGGTCATGGTATTTCCAGTAAACATACACTTAAATCATTGACTCGGTGTCCCGCTACATAAGTCAAGGGACACGTTTTATCCCTGTTGTCACACGAGTCAAACTGTTCTAAAATAATTACAAAACGAATTTCCAGCGAGAAAGTTGACTCATACGGTAACACTTCTTATTTCTATTCGGGACGTGCCCTCTTCGAATCTCGGTCAGGACGCCGAATATCACGACCAATATTTTTCGTGATTTTCTCCAGCACGTCTAGGTAAATACCAGGATTTTTTTATTGCCTAGTGGGGTGGGATTAGCAAATTGTACATGGATCAGAAAGTTACAGTACGGCTGGACAGAGGGGAGACAGGAAGTGTGCAGATTGGAAGAGGAGTTCGACAAGGATGCTGTTTATCACCAATTCTGTTCAACTTGTACAGCGAATGCCTTACCAAGGAAGCTCTGGATGGGCTCGGAGACTTCAAAGTAGGAGG